GTTTTTTTCTTCCTTTGAGCATAAAAAGAAAAACAAATTGTATTTGAAGTACTTTTTTAAATGCAAGTCTAACAGCCAGTTGTTGTTTTTTTTTTTTTTTTTTTTTTTCCAAGTCTTGTTCCTGGTTGAAAAAAATGAACCAAAATATGTACAGACCTTTTTAAAAGCAGAAGTGTCTGAGATGGACTGAGCAATGTGGCGTCCGAAGGGTCTGAAGACGATCAGTGCAACTTGTCAGTGTTCCTAAACGTGCTGCAGGGGGAGGGTTTCTTTCTAAAAGAGGCTCAGGCAGCTATCAGGTGGAAGAAAACCCACAAGTCCAGTTTCAGCGGATCCTAACGACACCTCATAAGGACCTACCAGGGTCTCCACATGCACTGAGGGTATGTGACGGTAGGCGCGCTCAGAGCCTCCCTGTTCTCCGCTCCCTCTGTGGAGCTCTGGTTGTGCTCGCTGTCGGTCTCCTCCAGGTCCGAGCACAAGTCCTCGCCGGACATGGCGGAGAGGGCCGGGGACAGAGCCGAGGTCCCGCCTGCGTGCGGGCTCCGCCCTCCCTCAGGAGCCGGGGTCGTGCTGCTTGTGGAAGAGTCCGTGATAAGGTCCATCAGCACGTCCTGGAGGTGGTCTTCGTTCAGGGGCATGCTCTCCAGCAGGTGGTTGAGGAGCTCGGCCGCCACCGCCGCGTCGATCCCCGGGCAGCTGGACACGAACATGTGGACCTCGTGCATGCACTGGATGTAGCCCGCCGCGAACCTCTCGCTGGCTTCTCGGTTCAGGAGTTCAGATTCTGATGGGAGGAAGAAAACAAGTAAATGTCACAGAACTGCGGTTCTCTACGCTGAGTCAGCTGTTCCAGCTGAAATGAACTCTAATGAACTTTCAGAGATGTGGCCTCTCAGTGAGAAGGTTGTCAGATCCAGTCCCAGCCTTTCTGAATGAAGTCTGCGTGTTCTCTCTGTGTGTGCGTGGCCTTTCTCTGGTTTCCTCCCACAAACCAAAAACAGGACTGTTGGGCTAAAATATGTTTGAATGAGAGAGTGAATGGTTGTCTCTATGATTCTTCTTCCCAACCACCATCAGACCTATGAACACTGCATAATACCCTTGTCTGAATTACAATCTTATCTACCTGCTCAGATTTTTCTTCATCGCACAGCTGCTAACCAAAACATTTCCTGACTCTTGAAAAACTTAAAAACCAACATTACAGTATCTCATCTACCTGCACATACTGTTATATATTGCACAAATGCAAATGAATGCACCTTATTATCAGTCTTTCTATTTACTCCACCTCGATCATGATCAGGATTCTACCTCACTCTATTACTACTTTATTTTATTTGTATTATCATCTTTTTTCTGTTTTTATATGTCTAACATATTTTACCTTTTTTAAATTACCATTTCTAACCTTACATTACTTTATGGTTTATCATGTTTATGTTGTGTGCTAATGAGCATCGTAAGTTTGTTCTACAGTGCGTCCCTGATGTTATGTTTGAATGACCAGTGCTGGCTGTAGCCATTTTGGTGCCCTAGGCGAGTTGAAGCGCAACCCCCACCCCGACTAGTTTACAAGGGTAAACTTAGATTTATTTGCTTTAAACACAAACATACTGTACATCACACAATAAATTAAATGAATAAATAAAGTAAATATAATTAAATCAAATGACAAGGGTAAACAAAATACCCTGCTCACAACTTGTGCAAAGATTTAGAAGGTCCTCTCTTTTTGGAAAATATAAGTCTGATTTTACCTCATAAGGTCCTCGGCTGACAAACTCAGTCCTCACTGTGTCTGAATGGATGTCAGCAGGATTAGTAGTAAGAGTAGTTTGTTTTTCCTGTAATACCTCCTTATAGTTTTTTAAGACAAAGCTAATTAATTGAAAGGGGCGCTGAGCAGAGTTACAACCAGGGATTACAAATAATAACTTTTTTTCTTCTGCAGTTCGGCGCCCCCTCCAGCAGATGGCGCTCTAAGCGGCCGCCTAGCTCACCTATGCCAAGAGCCGGCTCTGTGAATGACAATAAAGAGAATCTGAATCTGATGTTTGTCTCTACGACCTGTCCAGGGTGTACCCTGCCCCTCGTATACTGCTGGACATGCCCATCAGTGACCCTCGTGACCCGGAAAAAAACTGTGATGGATGGATGGATGGATGGATGGATGGATGGATGGATGGATGGATGGATGGATGGATGGATGGATGGATGGATGGATGGTCACTGCAAAAACTATGAGTATTTGTATTCCGGCCACTCTTGAAATCAAACTTTGTTCATAAACTAAAACACTTCTCCAACTCCTCAATGGTTCAACAACAATAACACAACATGACCTGTTAATATCCTGCAGAAACAAACTGACCAGCAGGCAAAGGTAGGCAGATGATATGGCCCCTAATGCAGTGGGCTTCATGGTCAGCATGATGGCTCTGTTGGTTGCAGTTCCTTCTTCCCAGCAAGAAGGTTGCTGGATTGAATCCCGACTGGGGACTTTAAGATGATGTATGGATGCAGGGGACTCATAATTACCAACAAACACAGAATTCTGTTTCTAATCCTGCTGTTAAAGCTTTAATAACTGTGACCCATCATATCGAAATGAGGATTAAGTTAAATTTGGTCAAAATGACCTAATTATGTTTTCAGATTCTTGGCTTTAAAAGCTACATTTTGATACCTGGATCATTCTGATGTAATTAAATCCATATAAATGACAATTTGTCTTGTTGGTTACAATATTACATAAATATTTGGTCTGAATCCTAATTTGATGTTATTTTAATGAGGAATATTTGATGTCCTTATAAAGAGGAAACCTCAAATTWTATTTGAATATTGAGATTTCCCAGGTAAAAGAAACACAGCTTTTGCTAACTCACAGGGAAAATCTCAAAATTTTAAGGCGTTTTTCCTCAAATTAATTTTTTTGTTGCTACTGTTCAAAATAGTGCTTCAAAATTTTGTTTTATGATTATATTTCAGACAGTTCATTCAACTGATACATTGATAAGGCTTTTATTCATTATATTTTGACAAAATGCAATTTTTGTTACATTTTAACATTTTAATCAAAACACTATATTTGCCTATTTCTCCATACACCACTTTTGGACTTAATCTTCGTTTCGATGTGATGGGTCACAAATGTGTTTTAAAACAAAATAATCCAAACTCATTTAAACTCGTTTGGATGTGGCTGAGTGGTTAGGGGAGACATTCCTCTAAAACAAGAGTTGGCAGTTCAATTCCACACTATTCCGTCACATGTCTAAGTGTCCCTGAGAAAGACACTGAACATCACTGATGTCTCCCTTCAGTGTATGGATGTAATTTAAAGGGACAATATCATGTAAAATCAACCTTTTTGAGTTTTATCTCATGTTATAATGTTATACTCTCATAAAAAACATGCCCAAAGCCTTGCTTTGACTCATTCATGYATGTTTGAGAAATCCTGCAGTGTTTTTAGGAAGCCATGCTGAGGAGCAAAACGACAGGTGGGGACAAGAAACACCTTTTGGTACCAGAAACGCCCCTGAGACGTGTCTTTAAGCCGAACTTCCTCATGGCAGAGCGCACCCCCTCCCCACACACCCCGCCCATGACTCCTGCAGGCTCTCAGCAGTAACAGAGCAAAAGTGAAA